TGTATCTCTGAAACTTGTTATTAATCTCACATAAACTTCTTCTTGTTATCAGTTACAACCAAAAAAAAAACGAATCCACGTATCAAGTAAATAATCTCTTCATTACAAAATAGAATTACAAACCTTCTCCAAACTGATCTAACCGTCACCGAAAAAACAAAAAAAAACCGCTTATCAAACGAAAAAAGTCTAGGTTGTCTGATGATTACGTAATATTACTAGTATATCACATAACTGTTTTGATTTTCTTCATCAACTGTGACATAACTGTATGAGTTTGAAGCAAGAGTAGTAATAGTAATAATAATATTAATAACAGCAATAAGATGAGAGAATAACTAATTTCTGTCTACAGCAAACACCCTAAAGCGAAACAGTAAGGCAATAATTACTAATATTTTGTTTGAAGCAATATATAAATATACTAGAATTCATTCTGATATAACGAATACTTTTTCGCATAGTGATTTCGTTGAACTGAAATGATTGTTTTTCCTTTCTTAAGAATAATAATAATTATTATTATGGTTTGTGCTACTTATAAGTAGTATATGACGCGAGTGTAAACGTAATGTCTGGCAGCAGAAGATGGGAGAAGATCAAGAAAGGAAGAGTTAGAAGAACACAATGGAATTTGTATGAAACGAATGAATAGTGGTGAAATGTCAGACAATGGACTGATGATGGATTGAAGATTTGCAAATTAACCGTTTACAATATGGTTTTCCTATTTTACTGAGTAACTCTGTAATTTGCGATAAATACAATTTGGTTGCCCTCACCTGCGTTCTCCTTCACTACATTATTATTATTATTGTAATTATTACTATGTGTGTGATAAGACATTTGTTCAATGTTAAGAACGTAGTTGTTCGTGGGGAGGGACGGGAGTCAGATCCTCAAGAATTCACTTGATGAAGGTCCTAATTTTGGATGTGTTTTTTATCATGTTTTCGCGCACGGACTGATCAGTTGACCTTGAGATTATGCTACTCATCCGGAACATTCTTGACTGTTATTGGTTGATTCATTATTTTAGTATGCTATTTGTGTGGCTCTCCCAAGGACGTTTCTATCATTTATAAATAAACTCGATTTGTTTGCTTGTCAACAACCTCCATTTTCTGGGTGTTTGTGATTTACACTTTCTATGCCATATGAAGACTTCTTGATTTAGTTAACCGGCCTGGGGACAAACGAATTAGAATAGTCTATCGTGTCACTGGATCATTTGTCTTCGTTCTCATTAACCGAGTAAGGTGAACACGTAATAGTTTCAAGCATACCAATTGGCGAACGTATCAGTAGTGTAAATTATTTACTTAATACAAGTTTATACTGTCACACTGTTTTTATGTATGTGATACTATCCAGCCAGTTAAACCGAGATTAGTGAAGCAAGAGCTGAACATGCAACTAATGAACTGAAAGTCGATAGTTTCAACAATATGCGTTCATCCCTCAAAACTGGTTCAGTTGTATTGAGAAAGTCAAAGTGAAAGAGGAAGTTGTTTTTGGGCTACCGAATAACATATACACAATGAGACACACTGTTCAGCAGGTCAAATTAATTGAAACTAACTAAGAGGAAAAGAGAATGATTTATCCTGTCAATCAACTGTAAAATCCTAGTGTGATGCGCGTTACTTATAAGTAGTATATGACGTGAGTGTAAACGTAATGTCTGGCAGCAGAAGAGGATGGGGGAAGATCAAGAAAGGAAGAGTTAGAAGAACACAATAGGATTTGTATGAAACGCATGAACAGTGAAATGTCAGACAATGGATTGAAGATTTGCAAATTAACCGTTTAGGATATGGTTTTCCGATTTTACTGAGTAACCCTGTAATTTGCGATAAATACAATTCGGTTGCCCTCAATAAAAGTCTATATATAAGTATTTTATGTCTGACTTCTTTATGATGGGATGATATTGACGTTTAGAACATAAATATCCTACTAAATATCGTATATGTTTTTTTTCAACTTAACACGTTTAAAAACAACAACATATCAAAAAATTCGTATATGAATTGTATTTAGGCTATGTACATTTTAAATAGACTAAAGATGAACGACAGTGAACCGCACGCAAACTCATCGATTTTCAAAAACAATATAGTTCCGTTAAACATTAACTCAGAAGAGGAAGACACATTTTTATAAGTTATTCAAGAATACAGGAAGTGGATAGACACAATTATAAAATATGATCAAATTACACTTTATAAACACATCAACGGCAAGTTTCCGGGTAATAGAATAAGCTGAAAGACAAGAATAATTCGTCCATACGTCCGTTCGAAAGCTAAGGTAAGTCACGCACGAGTGTAATCATACTCATTTCTACAACCTCAGACTAATTTTCGGTCAATAAATTATGAGTTATGCTCGGATCGTTCGTAGGTCCTTTGTTAATACATAGGTACTTCAAACGAGTCGATGAGCAGTCCTGCATGCATGATTGTGCAGTTTAGTCCATCACAAGAGTTCGATATGATGTTGGTTATCTTCTCAGGCGCGCTAAAGTGTTGAAGTAGCCTTCATAGTGTCATCCTGTCCACGCAATCAAATACTTTCTCTCAGTCGACGAAGACGATAAGGAGTTGTCAATTCCATTTAATTTTTTGTTCCAAAATGATCCGTAGTGTGAGGATTTGATCCGTACTTGATCGATCCTTACGGAGTCCAACCTGTTGATCGTCTAGTGAAGTCATAAAATTATGACATAACTGAGGCTGAGGCTCAATACCACTGGAATTGAGTAAAATAAAATCACAAACAATGTTGCCAGATGACGATAGACTTGTCCATCCTAAATTAGGGATTTTCAGTTTACTTAGTAGTGCAGTGTTAGGATATTCATCCAATATCCTGAGAGAATTATTGGCCAACTTCTATTAGTTCATTCCTACTGGTTAATTTCATGGTCGTCCTAGATATTAATGTCACGTGCTCCAATGTTGTTTCTTATTGGTTGTCCTGACTATCAATGTCACTCCAAATGTTGCTTCTTATTGGTCGTCTTAACTGTCAATGTCACACACTTCGATGATGTTTCCTATTCGACCAAAATGTATAAATATGCATTATCTGTAACGTTTTATGACCAGGACCAGGACCAGGACTCCCTACCGCATCCCTAGCTCGGGATCCTGATTCTCTTCTGGATTCGGACCTCGTTTTTTCTGGATGCTTGTAGAATACATGTGCTACTTCATATCAAGTCTTCTAATTTTTACTCAATTTTGGGGTCGGGATAATCGGACTTCAGTAGCATGTCGTGTCGCTGGATCCTCGATCCTCGCTCTCGTTTTCCGACTAGGTAAACTCGTATTAGTTCAAGTATACCAAATTGACGTGTCTACGTGTCTACGTGTAACATGCAGTCACTTACATACACTTTGGATTAAAGATATGTAGCAATACAAAGGACATAAATCAAATATTATGCCAAATCAGTCCAAAGTTAATAAAAAAGCTGAATGTTGTCTAGTGATCGTTGATTTTCAAGGATTTTCCGGTGATGTTAGTGTAGTGTGAGAATCATTGGTTTCAAATTATAATTGTGTCTTGGTAAATAAGTTCTTTAAAAATTGAATATCCACTAATGTGAGACCACTTAAATGGCACATACTGGGTCCAAAAACTAGCTGGAATTAAAAAATATTCATCCAATTCTGTCTAAATCGGTATTATGAGCATGTAAATGCAAGTTCGTATTTCACTTTTTGGAAAAAATTACATTTGATTTAAACTTCTCTCGATGAATTTCCGGCTGGTTTTCTGGTTAGAATGTTGAAATGATCAAAATTTCATTCTCTGAGATTACCAATATATGATTTTTACGTTTAATGTCTTCTACATTTAGGCGGCATCGGATTTCTGTGAAACAATGCAAATTTTGACATAGGTTTTTATCACCTCAACTACTTTCATTTACATTACGGGGTTGTGAAGATTGTTAAGTTACACATTTTTTGAAACCATGAATCGATCAGTGTTCGACCATCATTAGAAACCTGGAAGAAGCACTGGACGGCCGTTTCGTCCTGGTATGGGACTTGTCAGCAGTGCGCATCCACGACTTCTGCACCCCGCAGGATCCGAACCCAGGACCTTCGGTATTGTGCGCGAACGCTCTAACCGTTAGACCACTGAGCCGGAGTCTAATGGTGTTAATGTCTAACTTGATCAATTCACAGAGTTGCGCAGCCTCATACACACTTTTCGGTAATTACTGTCTACACCCGAACAGGTTGAACTTCACTGGTCACATCTTCCCACCATAACTCGGAGAAGATTCTTCACGAAGCTAGTCGTCACTAGTGAGCACAGGTAATTCGCATTGCGGGGTTGTGAAGATTGTTAAGTTACACATTTTTTGAAACCATGAATCGATCAATGTTAGACCACCATTAGAAAACTGGAAGCATTGGACGTTCGCGCACAATACCGAAGGTCCTGGGTACGAATCCTGCGGGGTGCAGGAGTCGTGGATGCGCACTGCTGAGGAGTCCCATACCAGGACGAAACGACCGTCCAGTGCTTCTTCCAGGTTTCTAATGGTGGTCTAACATTCATACTTTCATTTAGTAAGTAGTATAAAAGTTTTGGAAATTATTTTGCATACTTTATTGTGTGTTTTAATAACTTATTTTGAAAAGGTCCTGCATGTAAATCAACAATAACAGCAGCACTCAAACAAGCTAATGATAAAGTCAATCTCTTCAGTTATATAAATCTGTGTACTTGTTTATATTCCGATGTAATCAATGAAACAAATCAGTTGGCATTTATCAAAAATCGAAATTATCCTTAACAAAAAGAATGATGAAAATAATTCACTGTCAATTTAAGGATCTACAGAGAGTCCTGAATAGGCTAAACGTAAGTTCTTCAAAGTAGATAAAAAATAGTAGATGGAAGTATCCGTTTGTTTGTTTCTGCAAGTGTTTCCTGATCATTTTTTCAAATATAGATGATTAGATTTACTGTAAATGATTCAAGAAAGAGAGTTAACAGATGGAAGTATCCATTTGCTTGTTTCTACAAGTGTTTGCTTGTTAGTAGATGGAGGCTACCTGGTTGTGGTCCGCGAGACGTTTGTCACCAATGGTTAGAGACCTTGAACGACATGGCTCAAAATCGTTTGCAATGGTACAGGTGCATCCATTTGTTGTGCTCTTTCGAATCCTAATCTTCTGAAATCGTCATCACCTCTACCTTTGTCTTTCTAACCTTATCTCACTGAATTATACTTCTTGAATAATATCTTCAAACCCTAGTCTTCTTCATTACCATTAATACCTCTAATATCTCTCTATCACTATGGGATTTGATTTGACATTTGCGTCTCCGTTTGCTAATGTGGTATGGCAACCTGAACTTATGTACATACGTACGAAGTTCTACGTTGCAACTGACTGACTGACTGACTGACTCAAGTGTTTGCTGATCATTTTGTGAAATGTAGATGGTTGTTAGATCTACTGTAAATGATTCCAGGAAGAGAGTTATCTTTGATTCGGTCTGTGTGTTGATAAAAACCTCACGTATTAATTTGATTAAAAATCATTTTAAATGCTCAATATTGTTATTTTGATGAGAAAATTTAGTCGTTCGACAGTTAAACCAACTCAACTTTGTCATACAGTTAGAACACCTTATATAGGCAAATTAGTTCCGTTATTGTTATGACCAACTTAACCAATACGCTTCACTTTTATTTTGGGGCAGAGTTTTGGAGGTTTGTGTTTGTACACATTTGAAATCATCAATCAATCATTGTTAGACCACCGTTAGAAACCTGGAAGCACTGGACGGCCGTTTCGTCCTGGTATGTGACTCATCAGCCGTGCGCATCCACGACTCCTTCTCCTCGCGTTCGCCTACAATGCCGAAGGTCCCGGGTTCGAATCCTGCGAGCAGCAGTAGTCGTGGATGCACACTGCTGAGGAGCCCTATACCAGGACGAAACGGCCGTCTTTCAGTGCTTCCATGTTTCTAATGGTGATCTAACAATGATTGATTGATGATTTCAAATGTGTAAAAAACACATCACTTTGTTATTTTTATTGCAAAGTAAAAAAATAGTGATTTCATTTCGTTATTCTATATTGATTTGTATTGTACAGAGAAAATAGAAACATTAGAAATAAGTCAGTCAAATTCACCAAGTTCAATAAAACAACCAACCACCAGTAAAAAATCTAAACATAATCCATCCGTAGTGAAGAAACAACATCGAGAACGGACGACAAATGGAAATACTGAGAAGAAAAAGGATGAAAAGATGAATGGTCTTGTTGAAACTGTCGGTTCATTGTCCAATAAAGATTTTACTGTGGATGTCATTGAACAAGAAGACAAAAAATTATTGAAAACAATTCTTCTTCAACAACAACAACATGAAGAAATCAATAGACAACAATTATTATTGAAAGAATTGACTGAAACACAACCGAAATGGTAATATGATAATAGAATTGTTTGTCTTGTTCTGTTAAACAGTTAATTATTAATTTACAATATGGAGTTGTGGAGAATGTTGAGCTACTTTTTGAAATCAATGTTAGAATACCATTCCCGACCGTAGCTGCTACCTTGACGTGGTAGTCGGGCTTGACTATCGTGATGACCCAGCCGAGCTATATTGGCTGGAACTTATGTTCTTGAAGGTTCTACCATGCCAGGCAGCAGGTCGATTGCAGAACGATGAGAATAAAGGCAGCTACTCAACGTCTGAGGGAGAAGTCGTACTGTTGACTGACTGTGGAGGGGTGTGACAGCAGTAAAGTGTTTGTCTCGGACAACCAGCATGTGCAGTGATGCTCCCTTCTCACAAGGAAGGAAGAGTTTAGAAAATGTTGACCCTAAAAATGTCACACCTCACCCTATCTCACTGATTTACGTCTCCATCGGTAAGGGTGCGCACTAAGGGCCTTAAAGAGCGTAGCTAATACTCAAAAACCCTTTCATGAAAAGGCCGTACGTGACCGGCCTCAAGCAGTTGTCCCTTTGGCTCTGCGGTCACGCACTCAGGTCTCTAAGACCAACACTAATCTATCTTCCTTTTCAGGTCTCTCAAGACATAAGCTTCCACGCTGTGGGCAGCCGGGAAGTGACAACTGCCCTCATATCCGTGACAACACACGAGACCAAATTGGTCAAAATCAAGAATACCATTCAAAACCTGGAAGCACTGGACGGCTAGTTCTAATGGTGGTCTAACATTGATCGATTCATGGTTTCGAAAAGCAACCCAACATTTTACACAACTCTATTATGCGAATAACCTAGTTCACTGGTGGTTAGCTCTGTGAAGAATCTTTTCTGAATTCTAGTGAGAAGTCCTGACTAGTGGAATCCAACCCCGTTCGGGTATGAAGTGTAGTGATCACCAGAGACAATGTATGAGGTTGTGCAAGACCGTGAATAATTGATCGAAGTTAGACATTAACACCGTTCGATACCGGTTTGGTGGTCTAGAGGTTAGGCGTTCGCTTTCGAATCCCGCGAGGTGCAGGAGTCGTGGGTGCGCACAGCTGATGAGTCCCACACGAGGACGAAACGACCGCCCAGTGCTTGAAAACACACGTACTAAAATGATGCATGTTCATTTAAAAAGAAATGACTTTAATTGTAAATTGTTTTCAGTATACATCATCATAGAGTAACAATCACGTAAACGAATTTAATGAATGAGATAAATTCAAGTTCTGAAAATGCAAACAGAACAAACACTGTCCGTACATCTGTCTTCATTTCATGAAACTGATTGTTAATTAATTAGACTAAAAGTTGGCAATGTATTCATAAACATTCACATTTATCAATAACGATTCTTTTGTTAGTATTTTTCAATGATCTTTATTTGCCATTTATATTCATTCACGAGGTTTCTGCCCGTTTAGATGCAACAACTATTCTCCTCATAATAGTAGATGTAGCAGAAGTATTAGCAGTAATCTTAGAGATTAGGGTTCAAAGGTATTATTCAAGCATGATCTGGTGAAATAAATTTAAAAAGAGGAAGAGAAATGTGATGACGAATTCAAACGGTTAGGATTCGAGAGAACACATGAAGAATGAATTCACCTGCACCATTGCAAGCAGTTTCGAGCCATGTCGTCCAAGGTCTCTAAAAACATCGATTAATGTCATCCTGCGGGCCCCAACCAAGTAGTCGACACCTAACAACATAACTCAGTCCATTTGTCTGTGACTTCATGGACTTGTGCCATGTTTTGGCTTGGCTGTCCCTAGATTTCTTCCAACCTACTCCTACACCATAGAACATAGCTTGTCGAGGCAGTCGGTGGTTGGGCATCTGTAACACGTGTCCCAACCGCTCTAGCTGATAAAGTTCCACTACTCCCTCAATCGGTCGGCCATCATTACCTAGTACTTGTTTTCTAACGACAGCATTGTTCACTCGGTTGTCTCAGGATATGCGAGCAATGCTTCGGAGACATCGATGATCGAATACTAATCACCTACGAATATCCTCAACTCTAATCGGCCATGTCTCACAGTTATAAAGTAGGATGGGACGAAATGTTGAGCAGTAGACTCGTCCTTTGGTTAGCAAACAGATATCTCGCCTATACCATAAGTGACGTGAATTGGCAAGAAGCCGATGGAGCCTTCTGTATCCATGTTGAGATTTTGTCAGTCACCAGGCCATCAGCACTGATGAGACTCCCGTGATAATTGAAGTCGTCAACACGATCAACTACTTCACTCTCTATCACTAGTTCAGTCGCCGATGCAAGCCAATCTCGTAGAAGCACATGAGACTAAAACGGTTACTATTAAATCCTTTCTACACCTCCTAACAACTCTCTTATCACCATCAAGGTTAAATATTTGGTTTTTCATTGAATTGGTTCTAAATTGAAAATTTAAAAAGTTCATTATATCCATATAAATTTTTTTATTTTTTTAAAAAATAGTTATCCATATTTTGAATTCCTACCAATAAGTTTAACTCCGAATAGCAAACAGTCAGAACCTCCATCTTTGACCAGTATAGGTAAGTTCACAAGCTCATTATTATCTCCAGTATTATACCTGATCATTAACAAGAAATTGTAACGTTTAATACAAATGGAAAGCTAATGAGAACAGTGTGATTGTGAATAAAAAACTATATATATATATGCATAAATTTGATCATCAACTGTAAAACCTTATTTTCACACTAAAAGAAAACTGTCGTTCATTACAAGTAACGAGATCGTTATCATATTTTGGGGCAGAGTTTTGGAGGTTTGCGTTTTTACACATTTGAAATCATCAATCAATCATTAACACCGTTGGATGCCGTCCCACTGGTCCGACGGTAAGGCGTTCGCCCACGATGCCGAAGGTCCTGGGTTCGAATCCTGCGAGGAGCAGGAGTCGTGGATGCGCACTGCTGATGAGTCCCATACCAGGACGAAACGCCTTCCAGTGCTTCTTCCAGGTTTCTAATGGTGGTCTAACATTGATCGATTCATTGTTTAAAAAATGTGTAACTTAACAATCTTCACAACCCCGTAATGCAAATTAACTGTGCTCACTAATGACTAGCTTCGTGGGGAATCTTCTCCGACTTCTAGTGGGAAGACGTGACCATTGAAGTTCAACCTGTTCGGATGTAGACAGTAATTATGGAAGACTGAGTATGAGGTTGCGCAACTCCGCGAATTGATCAAGTTAGACATTAAGACCATTAGATACCGGCTCAGTGGTTCGATGGTTAGGCGTTTGGGCACAATACCGAAGGTCCTGGTTTCGAATCCTGCGGGGTGCAGGAGTCCTGGATGTGCAATGCTGATGAGTCCCACACCAGGACGAAACGGCCGTCATCTAGTGCTTCCAGGTTTCTAATGATGGTCTAACATTGATCGATTCACCGTTTCAAAAATGTGTAACTTAACTTGCCTGTGTAACCATAAAAGCTTCCCTATGGTTAGGAGGATCAAATCTGGTGCTTGGAAATCTAGTTTCGTTTGATTGAGGTTTGATATTTTTGGTGATGGAGCCTGGAGCCCTTTCAGCGTTACTGTCGGTCCGAAGAGACCATATCCCTTAAAAAAAGACTGACTTGATAAAGAAACTTTAACCAGAAAAATAATTCAAAACATTTAAACTATGTCCGGGCAATTGTAAGGCCTTCATTTACAACAGTTATGTTACCTCACAGTGAAGTCCTAGTTTCTGTGGAAGTCACGAGACCCAAGCCTTTCATTGAGGCGATTACATTTGCATGGACAATCGTAAAGTTTATTGGCTTTCCGTATCAGTTGAAGAGGAATTTATTAAGTTTTCTAATGGATAATCACGTTATTTCTAAAGATAAGTCACTCAGTAACTTTTACTGTCAATGAAATCGACAACAGATGATGCCTTAAATAGTATCTTCAAGATTATTGAGAACCACACTCTTAGACAAAAGTAGCCTCAAGGTAACAGATCATTTGTTTCCTCCCCTAAGATCATCATGTTCGAATGGGGAACATGTAAGGTTCTCTACTTTGAAAGGCATTTTGCGAAATGTTCTTACACATATACTTTTCAGTTCAAACTTTATATGATCTAACATTTTTGCATCTTGGTATTTAAGTCATATGACCATTAGATTCTGAGTCAGTGTGCTGTATATGTTGCGTAAGTCGGTTTCAAAAGGAGCAGATGGGCAAGCAGTACATATATTATTAGAATCGATGTTATTCAAAGTATCGGATCTTCTTTACCTGGCTCATTTTTGCTATATGCGACCCCTCTTCATATAAGTGTTAATCTTAGTGCCATATTTACTTTATATTTAAGTAGTAAATAATAACACAGAGGTTATGATGACCGGTATCGCAAACACTAGACTTAAATCTCGATACATTTCAATCTTTATTTAAGACCACGCAATAATGAAATTGGCCACAATTCAATGACAAGCCAAATTGGACGACGAAAGTTCAAATCCTTCGGAAAACATGAATTTCATCAACATTTCGGGTAGACTTTTTGGTGGGTATCAAACGACATTACAACCAGGTCAAACAACGTTAACTGCAGACAACAATCAATCACTTATTATTTGAATTGAAATATCTAACTGTTGCATTTGGTTTAACAAGCGTCTAATGTTCAGTTTTTCTCATTATTTGAGTCCAATTATAACAAATAACTTTTTTTACAATCATACACAAACGTATTTACTATTCTTTTAAAAAGTGTCAACGCTCACCAATTTAATATATTTGACGAAAAACCAAAATTTTACCATATTTAAACTAAGCCTACTATGAGTAGTATAAATAATTGCAAAAAATTATTAAACATTAGATACTAAGTTGAGTCAATCTATCAAGATATTTAGTCTCATCACAAACTCACCTAACTCGATCCAGTCCAGGAAACAAACATGATGACAGTTGCATGATGAAGAACTTCTAGACTTGTGAATAAAAACCACAAATAGATGAAGATGCTCCAGTTTGGTTACGCATATAAATGCTTACCAATGAAATTCAGCTGAATATTATCAAACTGTTATCTGAAACACGATTATGCCTTGAAGTTCGTAAACTGATTTTAAAATAGTGTACAACTTACATCCATATTCTTAATCTATCTCTTAGTAGATGATTTATATAACATTCAAATATTGGAAAGTTTCAAACAGTCTACTGTTAAACAGAAGTTCAAAAATGACGCTTAGAAAAGTGAGATGCTTTCAAACTGATAATCACCAAAAGTCCCATTATTCCACATTAACGCAAACATTCAATTGTCTACTCAGATGTTTGAGGTTAAAATATACCATGATAATGGATGTTGAAGTTGACTCAGATTCACCTGAAATCATACACCTCTTAGTTGAAGTAAGATATACGATTGACCTAGAAACGCCTAACTTCTAATCCACTGAGCCGGCATCTGACGGTGTTTGTGTCTAATTTTGATCAGCCTAGGGATTTCACGTAACTATTTCTATTTGTCTTCAGAAGTTAATTCCTACACTCAACATCTTTAAGCCCAGGGTTATATGACAATTTTCCTACCCCTTCTTATTCTTTTCATATTACGTGAATTTTCTCTCTCCTTTATTTACCTTATGTCTATTTGAACTTTTATTTAATTGGCCTTTTATTCATCTTCATACCAAAATGCCTTGACCAGACTGTTCGAAATGTGTTTAGCGCACAAATACATCACACTATTATTCAGATCAATTACGTCTTCTCATTGTTCTATCAAAATTTTATGAAAGTTTTGATAAATAGACGACTATCGATCAGATTACAATCAGGTACCGCCTCATATTTAATTATGCTTTCTAGAATGGGAAAATCCCAGCTTGCAATCAAAAAATCAGTTTTCCAATGAGCATAATACGTTGATAAACTAACACTTACCAGAGCCACGGTATGGCATGAAAATTATAAATCAGTCTATTGAAGTTTTCCCTGGCTCTTCTGTCGCGCACGCAACAACAAATGCAAGAGAAGGCAACCAGTGTAGCAGCAGCAGCAGGTCTCAACATACATAAAGTAAAAAGCAAAATTCTCTAATGCAGAAGTGAGAGCGCGGATCAGCAAAGCAAGTGCTGCATTTCTGCAATTGAAAAATATCTGCAACTCCAAACAACTTTCAACCAAAACCAAAATCAGCATTTTCAATACAAACGTCACAACAACAGTTCTACTGTATGGAGTGGAAACTCGGAGAACTACCAAAGCCATCATACAGAAGATACGAGTGTTTAGTAACAGTTGTCTACGCAAAATACTTCGGATTCGTTGGCCAGATACCATCAGCAACAACGTACTGTTGGAGAGAACAAACCAGATTCCAGTGGAGTAGGAAATCAGGAAGAAGTGGTGGATGTGGATAGAACACACACTACGAAAAGCACCTAACCACGTCACGAGACAAGCCCTCACATGGAACCCTCAAGGCAAAAGGAAAAGAGGAAGGTCAAGGAACACATTACACCGAGAAATAGAGAAAGATATGAGTAAAATGAACGAACATTGGACAGAATTGGAGAGGGAGGCCCAAGACAGACAGAGTTGGTTGGAGAAAACTGTTGTGCGGCCTATGCTGCATTGTGGGTAATAGGCGTAAGTAATTAAGTAAGTATTGAAGTTTTCGAAGAAGATTTGTAGCATTGTACTATAGTGGAAATTAATCTTAGTCTGAAAAACAATAGTTATCAAATGTTCCAGCTGAAAAGATCAGTTCTTTATGCATCATTACCAGATGTAGACTCCAAAGTGCAACATTCTATTACCATCTTATATCCATTACAGTCGCCCTACGCTGTAGTTTTCAGTATTACCCTAACTCTTGATGAATATAACTTGTGGCGGTCGGTATCTGATGCATAAGTCCTACATTTCGTATACTGCTCGTGCTGATAATCGTTACTGTATATCACTCAGCGGTGTATAAATCAGAAGACGAATACGAAGCGCTGGTGTTGTTTATTATTGCACTACATACACGAACTGAAAGTTAAATGATATGCTAGTGCCGCCGAAAGGCAAGCAATCAAGATAATACGATTAAAAAATGTACATAAGAAGTATACATTGGAAAATGAATTAGTTATTGGTTTGTTTAAGCGGCCAATATTAAAAGGAGTAGAATGAATATGTGTGTCTAGACAGTAAGCAATGGTCATTCATTTACCTGTTCAAAACAAACGCGACAATCATCAACGTATAGCGGGTATAGATAAGTTATTGTTATGTGAATGACTCTATCTGTTAAATAAGTTAATCGAATGAAACCATAAACAAACTCAAATATATATGACTTGCGAACGGAGCGAACTGCTACGGATGTACTGCGCAGCAGTTAGCTCCGTCCTCCTATATGGATGAGAAACATGGCCGTTAAGAGTAGAAGATATTCGTAGGTTACTAGTATTCGATCATAGATGTTTGAGAAGCATTGCTCGTATACCGTGGGACAACCGAATAAGCAATGCTATCGTTAGAAAACGAGCTCTCGGTAGAGATGGCATATCAATAGATGAAGTAGTGAAACTTCATCAGTTGAGGTGGTTGGGACATATGATACGAATGCCTAACCACCTACTGCCG